GGGTACATCGGGTGGGTGGCTCTGTGCCGTGCCAGGTGCAGGGTCTGCTGGCTGGGTGCTGGCAGGCTTGCACCTGGTACGGGCACCGTAGCCAGCCCGAGCCCCTTTAAGGGTTCCGGGGCCGGGGGGGGGGCATAGAGTTTCCCTGGTGTTGGCCAGAGTGGCCACCAGGGAAACCTGGGGAGGGCTAGCCTCCCACTAGTTCGAATTAAGGGGCTACACACCCCTTAATTCGAACTAGCTAGTTTGAACTAGGCTTAATCCTCGTAAAATGAGGATTACCTAGTTCGAACTAAGCGCTCCGCTAGTTCGATTCAAATTCGAACTAGTGGAGCGCTAGTGTAGCGGCTATGAATGTTAGTTCGAACTAACATTGTAGTGTAGACATACCCTGAGTGAGAGAGAAAGGTGAAGGCCACTGTTGAACCAGAGATGCTAGAGGGGAGGATCCAACAACAGACTAGAAGCTGCCAACGGTTGCTACATATCAAGAGAGGGCAGATTGGCAAGTGCGGACACGATCATGCTCTATAGGTTGCATTTCCTCACCCTCGTGTCCTGCCCCGATACCAAATCACAGGACTATGTGAGACCTGTTGAGGGTGAAGAACCCCAATGGGCCAGTGCTTACTCCATCTTAATCCCACAGCCCATTGGGGTCACTCCAGCCTGACTAGACAGATACCCTTTTCTCCTTGTAAAACCGGGCCTAAAATAAATTATCCGACATCTTCTGAATCCCCTTTGCACTGCTCTGTGACAGTCAAGCCCTTCGTATTGATAATATGATGAAAATAAGGGTGACAATTTACAGCCTATTTTTGCCTTATTCGGATGAAGAGATTGTCAGAGTTTGGTAACATTTCAGATGCAAAGGCTCTGATAGAGACAAAATGCCTATTGAATGTGTCTGCAGAAAGACCTCGTCATCACAATAAAATCCTGGTAAAAGAAAAAAAAAACTGCTTTACTATTGTACGCTCCATAAATGCGGAGTTTTGCCTTTTGCCCATAGAAAGATGCCGAGTGCTTCTCATACACATGATGGCTACGTCTAGACTGGCATGATTTTCCACAAATGCTTTTAATGGAAAAGTTTTCCATTGAAAGCATTTTCGGAACAGTGTCTAGATTGGCACGTACGCTTTTGCGGAAAAGCGTCCGTGCCAATCCAGACGCGCTTTTCTTCAAAAAAGCTCCGATCGCCATTTTCGCAATGGGGGCTTTTTTGCGGAAAACAAATCTGAGCTTTATATACTGGCCCTTTTGCGCAAAAGGACTTTTGCCCGATTGGGAGCAGCATAGTATTTGAGCAAGAACACTGACAATCTTACATGAGATCGTCAGTGCGTTTGCGGAAATTCAAGAGGGCGGTGTAGACAGCTGGCAAGTTTTTACGGAAAAGCGGCTGATTTTCTGAAAAAACTGGCCAGTCTAGACACAGCCATGATGTTCAAAGATTTGGACAGTTTACAACCAGAGAGTTTGGGCATCTCACTTGGCAGTGACATTTCCTAAGCGAAACATCACTTGGAATTGAAAGGACATGGGTTCAACACTGATTCCTGCGCATCTGGATATATAATTTATGCTATCATGTGCCGAAAGTGTCCGTCTGCTATGTACATTGGAAAGACGTCTCAGGCACTTCGCCTTGCTGACCCAAGGCAATTCAGAAACTGGGGGAAGAAGGAGGGCAGAGCCACCTGGTGAGACATTTGGTGACCCCTTTGAAATATAATGGCAACCCATATTGGGTCCCGATTCATTGGTTGGGAAACCGTGATGGAGATGGTGTCATGAGCTTCCATGCGCACAGCCCGGTTCTTCAGATGAGCTGTGCCCACGAAAGCTCATGATATCATCTACATGTTTTGTTAGTTTATAAAGTGCTACCAAGAGCGATAAGTATGCAGGAAAGGTACCAACAGATAATCGCTATGAAGTAGCCCAAGCATTGAAAAATTAGCCTGCACTGTTTATTAGCAGTCACCAGAGAAGTGATGCTGCTTTTAAGGGGAGAGGTAAAATCTCTGTGTCACCACGGCCATTTTCGATGAGAAGTTTTGAGGAACTCTCTTCTCAAAGCTGCAGAAAGCCGGTGGCTAGATAAGTGGTCAGCTTGTGCAAATTTCAGCCTCTGTAGACACACAATTGCTGAGAGAGTTAATAATTTTGCTGAAAGTGTGCTGAAAGAGATACGACGGGCCATTATGAATATCCCATTATTCCAAGCACTGGTGGATGAGTCATGAAAATAAAATGTTCAATTGTAACCATCTTATCCACCACAAGATTGCGCTTCAGTATTTTACTGCAGAGATGGGTAATTCGGCGAACAACTGTTGCTTTTGGTTCATAATTTGCAATTTGGCCTTTAATTTTGTTACCGCTCCAGCTTTCTTGCCCCTCACTGAGGATGCCCTGTCTAGTCTGGACTGACTGCTCTTGTCCAGTCCCTATCCAGTTTGGTCAGAGCTTCCATCAAGGTGTTGAAGAGGCAATTTGCTGTTACTGAGTCTCTCTTTGGTCCCAGTTACGAGATAATACAATAGACTCCTACATGACAGCTGATTAAAGAAGAAAGATTTTTCACCTGATGATTTGCTCCTGACTCTTTTCCAAGGAAAATGTTAACTGCTGAATGACAAATTGAAAACCAAAGTATTTGAATTCCAAAATTTCACCACCCTTGCTTGGGGAGGTGGTGAGTTCAAGAGCCTCTAGTTCCCATTTTCCTCAACAGACTGTGTTCCCTGGCCAGACTACAACTCCCACAATGCACCACAATCTTTCCCCTTGGGGAGAGGTGGAAGTTGGTCATGCTAGTCACCTGCATATAGTGGGAGATTTAGATCTGTAGCATGGCCTGGCCCATAGAGAATGGCATCATCAGGTAACTCAAACTACAAGTCCCCTGAAGCACCACAGAAAATAAAAACATTGCAGTTTATAACTCACATATTTCCATTAGGGATGT